CGCCCATCCGCTTTCACCATTGCATCCACGCAGGCAATGTTGTCCAGCGTGAGCGAGGTGCGAGACTGCCCCGACTGCTCGTTGTCATTAAGGTCTTCCTGGCCATTAGTGAACTCACGACACCACCACCGCCGCACACTACTCAAAGTGAGACATTTGTTCACATACATTGGCTACATTTCCCTGTGGATGTCGATGGGCGTTCGTCCTTTGCTCCATAGAAAACGAATAACACTTCGCTGCTCATATGATGTGGACATGTTGAGCACACCAGCCATCTTCACCAGCTGACAGCAGTGCAGTGTCAAGGAGCAGCCAAGAGTTAATGATGGGCCAGTCCAAGCATACCCTGTTGCATCGAATGTATAATCCGGTTACCCAATCATACTAATATTTTGGCTGAAAAAATAGGGTAAAGACTTTTCAATTTGCCTTCGTACATTGCAAAAGAGAAGTGTTAGAATCATGATGGGTTTCAAATCCTGTAATTCCTGTAGAGATCTATTTAAGAGATGACAGATCTTAACTTTTCCTAGTGAATATATATATATATATATTCATTAATAAACTTCATTACAAATAACGAAAAACATTTTCAGATGAATTCGGATGTACTGTAACCATACGTCCCTCGCCAAAATTATTAAGTGCATGAACAACTTATGCATTGTTTAACACCATGAGAGACGCTCCTCCGGCGAGATACCATCCCGGGATCATCTAGTGGTAATTCAGCTATTGTTCTCCTTAGGCTTAGGGTGCCACTATTGTCCCTAACATCGCCAGTTTGCTCCTAGTGTCATAAACCCATGAACTGACCTTGTATGAGACCGGCCAGGAGGGGACTTGGGTTCCCTGCTCGTGTGCCTTGAAGACCTACAAAGGTTTATGGGAATCTCGAAAAATATGAATGCAGGACAGATGTCGGGCTTGACCCTTCCCTTTCTCTGTTATTTTTCTTGTTTTGTTTGATGCCCACTGGGGGACTTGTAAAGAGAGGGCAGTCAGTTATAGGGAGCGGAGGAGGACAGATGTTGAACTGTAGACAGAGAACAGAGTAGTGTTTTACAGTAGGGGTAGCGAGTAGGATGGACGGAGTGGCTAGCTAGGAGGACAATGTAAATATTGATCATTGAATGAAATTTTAAATTAAAACTGCAATACACGGTGTGTTCTGGAGATCCCTGATTTATTAACCCAGAAGTGTGTTCCACTCCCATCTCCGAAGCACCCATATCCTGAGATAAAGAACTCAACCTCGAGCGAAAGTTGTGGCAGATGTTAGTCGGCGGGTGACTACAGTACACAGTGTTAACACAAGACACAAACACTGTCTTCATACACCAATTGATAACCTCTCATGCTTTCAGAAAATCTCATAATGCTGGGATAAACAGTTTTAATAACCTAGCATCTGATCTCAAAGGTCTTGTGAATGAAAAGACATGATTTAAAATACCACTGAAACGATACTTAATACACATTCATTCTACTCTGTTGATGAATACCTATTGTCTAGAAAATAACTTATGTATCTTTAAATAGCCCTGTGTGTTGTCACTGTGTATTCTTGGTTTCTCTTATGTGAGAACTCCATTGGGACTGTACATACGAGCATGTTTTGTATTTATATGACATATTCCACATCCTACAGTCATTTTGACTAACTTTGGATCCATGGAATGCAGTGTAATGTAATCCAGTGCAGAAGTTAAAATTTAAAAGGAATACGCAGATTTATACGTGAAATGGAATTGTCTGCATAAGTAGTGACATAGTTATGTTTCTTTTACACAAGAAATATTGAAAAAATTTGTCATGTATATGTAAATTCACTTTATTAAATTGTCATGTGATATGAAAATAAGGTAGCCACTGTCGGTCCCGAAGTAAATTCCATCAATATTAATGAAGTTGAGGAAATAATTTTAGAATTGATATGAAATGATCGAGTAGAGAGGATAATATTAAAAGGTAATCTGATTTGACCTAGCTCAGGATAGGATCCAGTGAAGAGATTTTGTGAACATTGTAAGGAATCTTCAGGATTTAAAAGTGGGAAATTAATGGCTTGACTGCTTGAGTGACTCAGCTTCTTAACATACGTGAAGTGCACAGTGGAACCTCGCTTAACGAGCACCTCTCATAACGAGTAATTCACATAACGAACAAAACAAATTGCAAAAAAGACTCGCTTAATGATCGTCGTTTCACATAACGAGTGATGAGAGGGGAAGTCCCGAACTGTGTGCTTGGTACATCAGTCTGTGTTTAGCACTCGTTCCGCTAGCGTCTTAGTGTCGCTTGTGATCACACATTTTTCCAAACTTGTGTTCAGACATATTATTTGTGATTTTTTTGTGCAAAGTTTAATAACCCTTGCAAAAATGTCCCCGAAGAAAAAGCTGCAAAAAGACAGCCATAAGAGAATAAAAATAACCGTAGAAATGAAACGTAAAATCATTGAAAAGCGAGAACAAGGTGTGAGCGTGGCTGATCTAGCACGCACATACAATCGGTCTACATCAACGATTTGCACGATTTGGAGTTGCATTGTGTTTCACAGCAAGAAGTTGTGGAGGAGAGTTTGTCAGAGGAGGAGGAAGAGGAGGAGGAGGTAACAGCAAAGCAACAATCTTCTGGCGCAATGAGAGAAATGCTGAAAGCATGGGAAACTGTTGCATCGTACATTGAGAAGCATTACCCTAATAAGACAGTGGCTATGCCCGCTACAAATTTATTTAATGATAATGCTGTGTTGCATTTTCACCAAATTTTGAAGCATCGGCGAAAACAAATGTCTCTAGACAGCTTTCTAGTAAAAAAAGAATTAGATATGTATCATAAATAATAAATTATTTCGATCTTTTTTTTTCCTGCAAATCAAATTCACATTCCAGGTTGGTTCATTCCACATAGGAGAAAAGATGAAGATGATTCATGCTCCTTAACAATGTATATATAATTTTCTTTGAATAAACGTTATACATACAATTTTTTGAGTATTTTTTTTCGGCATGGAATGCATTATCGGGAAAAATTGTTTCGCTTAACGAGTGTTTCACATTACGAGTAAGATTCTGGATTGAATTATGCTCATTAAGCGAGGTTCCACTGAAACTTAGTTGAATAAGTAATTTGTGATTGATCCTTGCTGGGTATGGAGATTAGTCCTGAAAAGTCTGTGGAAATTTAAGAACCTGTGGAAAAATGGGGCTCAGGAAGCATGGAAAAGATTTTATTATTATATTTACACTCTTGTACCAGACAATTAATACAGAAATATGCCTGTGACATGTGAGGTTGTTTGAGCAGTGAATGTTCTTCTGAAATGTGTTACCATGCAGTTTGTTAGATGGCCACTAACATTCTGGAGGCAGCTGGCACATTCCAGAAGACTGTGACCTTAATAGAAATGTATATATTTCAAATAGTAACAGCCGTGGAAAATTTAATTAGCTTCTTTACAAGTGGGAAGTACAAGGAATTGTTGAGAGGTTTGTGACTTAGAAGAAGCACAAATGGGTTGAAAGTAAGATGATATGGATGATATGGCTGGGGTTTTTGAGACTTAAATACCAGTCAGTCTGGTGCTATTACTGACCACATAAATTGAACTTTTTTCTAGCAAACATTGGTTGTAAGGATTTAAAAATATTTTAACTTCTCTATTTAAGAGAGGTGAATAAAACCATGTAAAAACACAAATTGCTGCTCACGGTCGCCGAGCGTTCCAAGGCATGTACTGTCTTCGCTCGCTTGGAAACCAGTATCGTGAGTTTGAATCCCACTCAAGGCATGGATGTTTAGTTTGTGTGTGTGTGCGTGTTTTTGTGTTTGTGTACAGGTAGAGGCCTTGTGACGAGCTGATCACCCGGCCAAGGAGTCCTACCGAATGTGTAAGATCTAGAAAAACTGAAGTGAATGGAGAAGTTCATGGAGGTAGGCCTAGGCTCACTGGGGCTGTAGTGCCAAGGAAAAAAAACCCATATTGGAAGAATATGTGAGAATACACATTGGCTCTGTGTCATTACTCTTATTAAGAGACCTCCTGATTTTTAAAGTTATCATAACAGTCCTGCCATGAAAGTACACTTTCTACCTCTTTGTGAGATTTTCCCATTTTAGTGGGTTCCATATCCTTCTAGTTTGTAATTCATTCACCTTGCCTGAAATTATTTTTTTTTTGACTTTTTTAAACTAATACCCATAGAAGGCTTGTTTAGGGAAACTGTTCTCTTCTACATGCCTGTGCAACCATATTTTATTTTCTTTCTGTTTACACAGTATCTTTCTATTTTGCAGTGGTTATTTTTCTTACATTTTACACCTGATTCCACTCTGTTGTAAACATCTCTAAAAGTTCCCTTTTTTTGAGACAGAGAGCTTTATTTATTCTAGAAATGCAGCATAAATCAGGATGCCACTTAACAACCTCCACTTGCCTTTTTAATGCTATTCAGTTAAATTAAAAACAAAAAACTAAAAGAAGTGAAATAAGATTGACAGAAATGAATAAGACAGTTCCTTAAACATAATTAAAAACGTTTTTTTGAAAATATTTAAAAATCTGTGAGTGATAGCAAATTCTGTTTTTAAATGTATCGGCAATAGAAATCACATTTAAATTAAATATCATACATTAGTAAACAAAAATCATATATATAAGTGTTACCACCAAATTATGTCTCAGTCTGTCCTCTTTCCTACCATTTTACTAAGGGGCTGAGATTTTAGATTTAAAAGTGAACAAAGGTGAGGAAATATATCATTATGCAAAACTCACTTGTCTGGCCTGTAGGTTTTCTTCACTGAATGTGCTTACATAAACTTTCAGAACCATGAGGGTGGAGTTGTAATTGTTCTGTGAATCATCAGAACTTATTTCTCATTGAGCGTGATAATTCTAAATTATGTTTGTAGTTAATACTATATTTACTACAAAACTTGTTAATCCTATCACCTGAACATGTCTAAAGGACACATTTGTAATCTTTCAGGTATGACTTTTCAAAGCGATCTCCAGTAAACCCTGAAATGGCAGAAAAACATGGAGTCAAAATGAGAAAGCCTGGTGAAGTTACATTAGAAAGTGAATTTGAAAAATTAAAGAAGGTAAGAAGTACTAGTTATACATCACATGAAAGAGCACCATTCTGTACTGAAAAGAATATTATGGTATGAACGTTTGTCTCACAAAGCATGTCTGTTGCCACTGCCTTTGAAATGGTTTCATTTTGCTGTCATATTTCTGCCAGTGGCCATACCATTGCAGAAAGAACTTTACCTGGCCTTTTCATGCAACCTCTGTTAAGTACCACCATTGTATACTTTTCATGTCTTCTGCAAGTTGACATCTGCCTTCCTTCAAGGTATTTTCCATTCATCAGAACAAGCAACAATCAACGGAGGCCAGATCTGGAGAGTGGAGTCACCATGGAAGCACATTTGCGCCACTGTTGGTCAGATACTGCTGAACCAGGAGAGGCTGATGATCTGGTGTTCTCTCATGGTGGAATAGTTTCCAGACTTCCAACCATGAAAGTGTTTATAGTAGACAGCTTCTCACAGAACATCTCTATACATTGTCTTGTTAGGATTATGATTTTGTAGAATGATCTTGTTATGAGCTATCATGGCCTTATCATATCTCAGTCAGGTGCACTGGAGCGGGGTTTTCCCAGAGTTTATTTATTTTTCTTCAGCCAATCATCATTCCATCTTACCTGTTACATCCCCTGAGCTGTGCGAAATCCCTGACCAGGCAGCATGTTATAATATCTCAGTCATGTCTGATCTGGCATGTGAATGGTTACAGAGTAAGGAAGTGAAGTTTGTGAGCTAATGTTCACCCTTGATTTACTGAATCATCTTCCAGGTGTGGTTCACATTACTTGAAATACCTAAATCATTTGTACACTGCTTGGCTTCATCCTCATATGCTTTCTGCTCATATTGCAAGTCTGTAAGAATATTGTAACAGATTTGCTCAAAGTGTTACTAACAACAGCTTGGTAAACATGTTACAATGTGCAACAGTGGAAGATGTTTCTCAATGGATGAATTAACTGGCTGGCTAGGAGTCACGTGACTTGTGTTTTCTATGTTGTCTGTGTGGAGCCTATGTAGCAAAGACCTATTGTAGCTTAATGCAGAGTGCAGTGTAGTGCAGTTAAGAATCCAGAAGAGTTTTTAGTTGAGTTCTGAAGTTCCAGGGTGATTGAACAAGAAATGGCAGGAAGACTTCATAGAGATTTGAAGTGCTACTTTCCGTGTTGAGATCTATTGCCAGGAGACGACTAGTGAAGACAAAGAATCCTAGTGTGTGTGCAACGGCAGACTGGAAAGTGTAAATCAGTGATAGCACTGTATTGGTTGTAACTGAAGTGCCAAAAAGTCCAATCATCTTATCTAGAACTCATCATTTTCATCATGTGCACCACCTTAAATGTTGGGTGTAGTTGTGTGTCTTTTGAAATGCATTTCATCTGATGTTAATCTCTTATCATCCTTCGTGAACCATGCTCTGCTGTAGTATGCGCTCAATCATGTGTTTTGTAAATTTTAATTTTATATCTGCAGAATGTAGATGAGCTTATCCTTTAGTGCATGAAACTGTAAAGTAAGTAAGTAAAGGTATCTATGTAACAGGTCATGGAGGCCCATAGTGTTGTGAGATGTTGAGGTTCTCACATTTTCTAGACCAGGGGTCTCTAAAACTTTTTGAAACACGGGCCACATTAGGTAATTCAGCACTTTCAACGGGCTGGATAAAATGAGAAATAAATAACTCTAGGTATATGAAGTTTATTGAAAGCACACAATTTCATAAACTAAACACAAAGTACGTGAGAATAAATTATCATATATTAACATGTTGTGGACCAGCAATTTAAATATTTAAATCACCCTGGGGACTGGCATTTTTAAACCTACTACCCTAACTTGTGCACCGTTCACTTTAAAAATTAATATAAAATCTCCTAATTAATTTTATGAACTAAAATTTTTGGAGAACACTTACCAATGCTTCTAGAAGTGCTTGAGAGTGTGATATTTATGGAAACATTCCCCTTTGTGAAGTGGCATTACACAGAACTTGCACATGTAGACAGTCATACTCCTTTTGTTGTGTATTGTGCAAACACGGCATCACCTAGAAGGCTGCTTCCCCTTGGCATGTTCACTCTTCACAATTTTCACGAAGGTATGTTTCCGTATATCACCCGAGAGTCGCCCAGGGGGGTCAAAATGAGGCCTGCATGGGGTGGGAGTAGACAGCCCTGGTCGTACTAAGACTGTGTCTGCCGCCGGTTCTGCCGCCACCGTGTGGTCTGTAGCCCAGGCTTTTGCCACATTCAGCAGAAATGCCTTGTATTTCAATTTTGAATGAGGGTTTAGATTTTTGAAAACCAAAAATGAATTGAAAATGGCACAGTTTATAAGCCACAAGGCAACTTTCTTTGTCCACTTTACTGTTTTCCGAGGAAGAGAATAATAGGCCAAGTACTGATCCACTCTATCAACTCCCTTCACGAACATATTATACTCGGAAATACAAACAGGCTTCTTTACCTGTCCATGTCTCCTTTGAACATCAACCATGCTCGAATTGTGAATTGTGGAAAAACAGTTCCGCTACTTCAGACACTTGCGTTGGGTCCGATGGAATTTGCTTCACCCCTGGATTTCCAGTAAACTGTCCCAAAGCAGGCGTTTTGTCTACTTATCCCCATATGGCTGTCCCTGCAATGTTTCTACCCGCTCTTTCATCAGAGCTGCTATCACTTTCACTGTCTGTGGCCACAATTTTTTGTTCGCCCCTGCCACACTCACTATCATATTGTGAGTCGCTATCACTAGCAGACTCACAAGGGACGTCAGTTAGCTCATTGGAGAACAAGTGAGATATTTCTTGTTCTCCGGGAAAACGCTTGGACCTCAACCTCTTCCGACCTTGATCCATTTTGCACTAGTAACTTCCTGCCTGGTGCATGCAGCTGGAAGATGAACAAAGGCATTTTCTTTTGGAGTGAGAAAGGAAAACAGTTGGGTCATAAACAGCGGGGTCATGTTACTGACTATGAAGCAAACATTCAAGAGGTCTGTCACACACCAGTCTTGCATCTGCCTGGTGACAGTGCAAGGTATAGTGTGTTTCAACATAATGTGCCCTAAAGTCATAATAATATGCCACCGGTCCGCCACGTTTAAAAGCGCTGGGCATAAAAATATGCCACCGGTCTGCAAAGTGTTAATGACAACAGACAGTAGCAGTAAATGCTCATATTTTTGTTACAAATTATAATAAAACAATTAATATGAATGATGGAACTCTTTTTTTCATTCTTAAAATCTGATTAAATTGAGGTGATGATGATCTGTTACAATTACACTGCACCACTGCAAGAAGTCTTGTGCACAAGACGGGTAGTAACTAACTGCTTGCGTTACCTACATTGCCACAAAGTGACACTTCTGATCGAGGCCGAACAAGTACGAAGAAATACCGCGCAGTATACAGTCCAGAATTAGTAAAATTGTGAATAATATTAATATTAACATAATATGGAATATCAGTATATTTTAAACACAATCTTAATTAATGAATTTGAAATCTATGAACAAGTATTTTTTTTACCAGTACTCATTGGAAAATTAGTTCAGTTGGCGCATTTCTGCACAGTTCTTTCGTGGGCCGTAGTTTGGAGACCCTTGTTCTAGACCATCAGCTCATAGATGGCAGTAAGGTTGTCAGCCATACGTGCCGACTGCCCTTTACCCCCAAGAACATTCCAAGAATATTCCTGGTACTCATTTCTGTTGAGTTGACCCCAACTGTACATATTAATATAAATGACTGTTTTATACGTGTGTAATTAAATGTACAGTATTAACTTATTCAGATTTTTTGTTCTTGGTGCAGGTTTTATGTCTAACTGGTTCTTTGCTGACACATGCCACAATTTTTTTTTCTTTATGTTGTGAGATGATGCCTATGAGTCAGACTTGTGGAATCAGAAGTGTCAGAGACACATCCATTTCTAAGTAATGTCAAGCGCTAATCCCCAACATCCACTTACGTTCACAACACTTGAGCAGTTGTTGGGGGAGGTGTTTGCCTGTTGGTCCTCAACAAATTGATATGCAGAGAGTCTCCAAGCCAATGAAGGAGTCCGTGTTGTGAGAGTACCTGAAACCTATCAATGTGCTTGTGATGCTACTGCCAGCAAGGAACCAAGCAAGAGTGGGGTAATGTATTGTGAACCTCTGTGAATACATGTAAACTCTAATCATCTGTAAGTAACACCATTCAGTGTCCAGTAAATCCTATTACTAATCCAGACCCCTTGTATAATCATGATCATTTGACAGTGTTTACATTAGTGGACTCCTGTGAAGATGGCAGTGAACTGTTAGGTTGCATAAAAGACAGGAAATGTCTTGTGTGGCTGAGTGACTGCAGTGACATTTTGTTTATTGTATTGTGACATGTTGACCCCTACCTCTCCAGCTGCATGTAGCGGTAACGTAGCGCTCGCGTAATAGGCGAGTGATCACCCCGCAACTCTCCCCGCGGTGACGTCACGAGCGTGTAACGCGACAGTATGATCTCAGATTTTACATCTTTCACAAATTTATGCACTTTTTTTGCATGGTCCTGGCCAGATGGCTATATCAGTGATGTTAAACTGTAACGGATTTTACGTTCCCTCAACTTCATGATGAAATATGGATAATGACGGAAACAAAAGTAATTTAAAATAAGTGATAAAATAAATATTTCAGCAGAAGGTAATGCACATGTTGGTACACATGTTGAACTGACATTATGCTTGAGACTTCCACTGTCCACAATAAACACTATTGTTAAGAACTGTGAGGAAATGGAAATTCAGTGTGAACATTTCTCCATGAAGCAGAAATCACTGAAATGTTAGGCACTGAAGAAACTGGAATCTGCACTTGCTGCATAGTCACAGTAAACACGTGAGAGTAATGCTTCCATAGCTGGCATCCACCTGAAGGTGGACCTTGCACATGGTCACTCGTCTTGAATGGGAAACTTTTCAGCTTCCAAATTACTGACTGTTGCAAAAAACTAAAGGTTATGC